ATAAATATATGTATATATATAGATATATATGTATTCTAAGAAGAAATATTCAAAATCTAGGAATCTAGGAAACGAGGAAAAGACAAGGAAATGAGAGGGTCCGAGGGAAAAGGTGATATATATATATATATTGGTGATTAATGCACGAGGAAATTAAGAATTTGATCACAACGGAACAATAGGAAATGAATTGATTTTGGTTTTTAATTTTTTTTTCTTTCAAAACAAATTCTAATCGCTGGAAAGGAATGAGTGGTTGGTGCATGCAGAAAGTAAATCGGATGAATATTGTCACCTTGAAGAGTGGAAGAGTTCGTTTTGGAAAATAGTGAACAGCCGAAATTTACTCCCTCTTTTTTCACCCTTAATAAAAATGAGGATAATAATGGCAGTGTTTGGAATTGTTCTAATTTTTATTTTTCATATTTTTCGAGAAAGAAAAATAAAAATATTTTCAAAACGGCGTTTGGCGTAATAAAAAAAAATGAAAGTGATTTTTTGGTTTAGTGTAAAATGAGAGAAAAATATTTCATTTTTTGTTTTCGTTTTCTCCTCTCTCAAGCAGAGAGAGAAAAAAAAGACATTAATGAGTTTTTTTTATACTGAAAACAATCTCTTAATAAAACTATCAAAACGCATTTTTAAAAATGATTTCTGTCTGAGATTGAAAACGTTTTCATTTTCATTTTCATACAAAAAATAAAATCATTTTAGAACGAGTTCTAAACGCCTCCAATAATTTACTCTTCGATTTTATTAGGTTGACTTTTGACCTCTACTTGCTTATCTGTATCTCGAAAGAGAAAATAATAACAGAAAAGATGAGAAATTATATATGTGTATATATATGTAAATGAATAATGGACCAACAGCAAATCAATATTTGGAATAGGAAGACCTATATTAAAGGCTTTTTGTTCCTTTGTTTTTGTTATTTTTAATTTCTTATAAAAAATATAATCTACTAGAGCTTTTATTTATTTATTTTTTTGCTCTGAATTTAGAGATTTTATTTAAAAGAGCATAATGAATATTTTAAGCACGAAAAAGGATACCGATTATTGTGAGAATAATTTTTCCCTTATGGTTTTCATTCGTTCATTCACTATTATTATTGCTATTATTATTATTTTGAACATAGGGTGTTTTAAATTCTATACTTTAACAAGAAATTATGAGTGAAAGACTACCTACAACCATGAAGTTTTATTTAGTTAATACTATTGTTTTTAAACCTACCATAAACACTCTTAATAATACACCATTCCTTTTCCATGTTCTATTTAAGGTTTCATTTTCTACAAAATTGCTATGTAAGAAGGAAGTGATTCATTATAGAGTAAGAACAAAAGCTCCAATCATAAAAGAATAAGAACAAGAATGGGAGTATATTTAGTTCGTAGATTTAAACAAACAAATTTAAACAGAAATTTAATTCGAATCTATAAAATAAACGCGTGATAAATTTAGGATCCGTTTAGTTCGTTGATTCGAGTTTTTAATTCAAATTGAAATGTGATTTTATGTGAGAACTTTTTATTGTAACAAAAAATTTAGATGTGACTATTTTTGAAAACTTTTTACTGTAACAGAAAATTTAAATGTGACTGTTTCTGAAAATTGTTTACTATAATAAAACTTAAATTTTAAACTCGTATCAGTGAAATGAACGGGTCTTATTCTCTACTCGTTCACAGCGGAACCTATCCACCCGCTGCCCTGTTACCTGCTAGAGGTTTTGCAAAGCATGATGAGGCCCTTATCCAAATTGAAAGACCAAAATCTTTCTCCCAAGTGTGGGACCCTTTTTCACTCTTGTTTGCCACTTTTGAACTAGAGCCAGAGTGAACAAAAACATCCCAAAAGCTCCAAATCAGATAAGCACATAAACAAAACCATGGCAATCTCTACTCTAACAGCCTCAACAGCAAATATAACCAGCACCCACCAGAGCTTTCAACCCAAACCCACCTCCAAAAACTTGGGTTTCTCCAAGGCCGAAAGCAACAATGGCAGAGCAAAGCTTTCTTGGGCCTCAAACTTCAGGACAAAGAAGTGGGTTTTGGACGTGGGAATTGGGCTTTTAGCAGCGGCTTCGGTTGTGGCGGTTTCGCCTTTGGAAGCTGAGGCCACCAGAATTGAGTACTACGCCACTGTGGCAGAGCCTCCTTGTGACCTCAACTTTGCTCGTTCTGGCCTCGGTTATTGTGATGTTCAACCGGGGTCCGGTCAGGAAGCTCCTTATGGTGAGCTCATCAATGTGAGTCCTTTTCAACTTTAAGATGAGATTTTTGTTGGTTCTGATATTGGGTTGTTCTTCTTTTAGTTTAGTTTGCTTCCCATTGTGCTTAATTAATAGGTGTATAACTGGGAATTTTTTGTACACCTTTATTAAGTGTAGCTTGGAAATTACACAGTTGTGAATGCAGTTATCCTAGTTTTGATATTGAGTTTTTTCTTTTCGTTTGGTTTGCTTCCTATTGTGCTTTATAATAGCTTAAATACAGCTCGAGTCAATGTATAACTGGAAATTTTTTTGTAATGTTTTTTTTGTTGCTGTTTGGGAGCTTTCTGAAAACCGAGTGTTAAGTTGTGGAGCTTAATCATTGCCATAATGATTATTGCCTTATGTAGGGGTATTTGTGGAAATTTCATTAAGGGTGGAATTCAAACTTGTAAATTTGGTTGTCTTAATTTTGAATTTGGTTGTTCTTCTTTTAGTTTTGTTTGTTCTTCTTTGTGCTTGATAGCTTGAATTTTGAGCCCAATTAATGCAGTTTGAGTGTTCTGAATAACTGGGAATTTTTTGTAACGTTTTTTGTTGCTCTTTCGGAGTTTGTGAGAACTTTGTCTGTGTGATGTGAAATCTCAATTTATGCACAAAGGGCTTTTAGCTTTAGATGACTGCTTTTGGTATGACTGACTGGCCAAAGTTTGGAGGTTCTTCAATTCAAATTAGTAAGATGCCAATTGTTAGACACTGCGTGTTTGATTTGTAGGTTCGTACCATGCAATCCAATTTTAATCAGGTCCACCATCCAAACCTGATTTTGGAACAAAAAATTCGGACTGCATTCAGAATTTTGGATAGAAAAATACAGTTTAAACCCCAAATCTGGGATTTGGCCTCCCCTCAATTTGACGATTTGAACCACCTCGCTACAGTTTAAACCAAAAACAACACATGACAGGGAACTAGAGACGCGAAGGTAACTATAAAGATGAAAAGAAATCGTTTCAGGGAAGATGTGAACATGAATATAAACCAATTGAGTAAATGTTGTAGGACATGCTTACAGAGATTTTTTTTTTTTTGGTTCTCTTTCTTCTCTTGCCAACCAGTTGAAGTTTTTGAGGTTCTCTCTCTCTTTTGTGTGTGTGTTCCGTTCTTGCACAAGAAATATGTTGTTTTGAGATCAATATCCTCAATCCTATATGGCTGCTCCGTAAAATCTTGTTAACAACAAAAAAGCCTTCAGTTGCAGCGTGAAGATGTTATTGCTCTCCTTGTACTAAATGGAACTTTATCCTCGCAATGCAGAACCTGTATGATGCATTTGGCAGATTTGAGATTCCCCACATTTCTAAGCTCTGGAATAAATCTTCCTTTAGGATATTAATCTGAATGCATATCAAAGTAGGGATTTCATTAGGTTGTGCAACTGCAGTTTCATAAACATGTTCTGTTTTTCTCACTGCAGGTTCACTACACTGCTAGATTTGCTGATGGGAGAGTCTTTGACAGCAGCTATAAGCGTGGTAGACCTCTCACAATGCGTATCGGTGTTGGCAAGGTATTGAATTATTCTTTGTTATGTTATTGTTATTCCAGTTAATCAATTATCTTAATTTCGGTTCTCTCATTGGCGATGTTATTCTCTTTACTTCCCAATATTCATTAACCATAGCCCATGACTGGTGCTATTATCAACGTTTTCTCATATTTTTGGCGAGCTTAGTAAATTTGATAATATAATCACTGATGATCTTATTTTAGACTGTTTTGTGCAACCTTAGTCTGTTATAGAAATCTGAAGCATGTTCCCTTTTGAAAATATTCACACTTCTTTAAGACTTGCCGATGAAAAAGCTCCACTTTGCCTGAAAAAAAAAAAAAAAAAGGTTTGTTCAATTCGGATGATCATAAAACGATTGCCTATCTTACTTGTTACCTTTATAATAGTCATGATGTAAAGAGACAAACTTATATCTAAAGCAGTTCACCTTGTGCTTCTTGCGATCATCATGTTTTAACGCAAAACCTTGTGAAGGATATATCACTAAATTTGTTGTGCATTTTTTAGTGGTTGTTCCACATGGAGGTATCCTTGAAGTAGTATTAACTATAAAACAAGAGCATAGTATGCTCAAACACCATCGTTTATTTAATGAAACCAGCAGTACTATGAAACCAACCGTAGCAATGAAGAATAAAGAAAAAACTCTTGTCAAATAACTACTGCTCAGTTTGCATTTAACAGGGCAGTTGTGCTAATGTTTTCTTTGGTCATGCTTATATCCATTTTCTTGATCTGCAGATCCTTAGAGGGCTGGATCAGGGGATTTTAGGGGGTGACGGAGTACCCCCAATGCTTGTAGGTATGACTTTTGATATAATGCAACTTTTCTTTCGTTGTAGTTGTCAAAAGCTGGCTTGTTCATTTGTATTTTTTGAGTTAGGGTGACTTGAGTTCAAATCTTGATTTGAGTTAAAGGTATATTTGAGTTGGAACTCTAATTTGGGTTTGTGTTTGGATGTGCACATTTTGAGTTATGGTTTGAATTGAGAATCTATTTGAGTTTGCATTTGGGTGGGTCAAAACTTGAATTTATATTTTAATAGTATTTTAATGAAAACTCAATGGTGATGGAAAATTTTAATAGGGTATATGGGTGGGGTTTTATTCGTCTCTTCGTTGTGAACCCATAGAAAAAAAATCATCTCAATCGGAATTAAAACAAAAAAGTTATGGCGTTTTTAAGAATAGAAAAAATATTGTTTATTAACTTGAGTTTGAGTTTAGGAACTTGAGTTGAAGGGGGAACTTGAACTCAGATTTTACAAACTCAAATTTTACAAAAGAACATGAACTTAAATAAAGTTGTAACTTGAGTTTAAACTTTTTTTGAGTTTTGGTGCAAATGAACAAGGTCAGAAGAACTGGTCCTATAAATAAAATGTAAAATTAAAGGGTATAACGTGACATTTATTCTATGTAATAATGACTGTATAAAGGCATAACAACAAGGACGAAGACAAACCCTATAGTTTATATGTTGCATCTCATTTGCCTAGAAAGTTCATCACCCTGCCAATGTTACACAGGAGGAAAAAGAAAGCTTCAGATTCCACCACAGTTAGCGTATGGACCAGAACCTGCAGGCTGCTTTTCAGGTGAGGTCCAATAACATTCTTTATTTCACATTCCATATTCCTTATTTATATTGATTCATGAGTGAGTAAATCCTTACTCTCAACAAAGTTTATAAATTGAATACGATTACAGAATATTGTAAAGGCCAGAAAAAAAACCATTACCAAAAGGGTTTTTTTGCGCCATTGGTCCCCCCCAACTTTTAACCTGTGCTGCACATTGGTCCCCGACCTTTTCTTTCTTGGCATTTCAATCCCCACCTTGTAAAAATATTACATATGCTAGTCACTGTGGCATTTCTGTTAGTTATTTTCCGTTAAGCGGTCACTTGCTTAGCACATGAACACCTTACTGGGAAAAACGAGCATGTACGTTCAATTTTTATGAATATATTCAGACAATAACATCTATGCTATTTGTTAATGTAGGTGACTGCAATATACCTGGCAATGCCACTCTTGTCTATGACATTAATTTTATTGGTATCTACTCCGGAAATAGAAAGTGAAGAGGTTGAATAACAAGTATATGAGAAACCTTACAGATGATAGAACTGGTTCCCTGTGAGAATAGTCTTGCCATGTTGATAGAAGTTGATAATGGGAATCTTGATATTATAGGCACCCTGTCTTTTTTGTATACTTAGCTTGCTTCTAAAAGAAAATCCAAATACTGCAGTGAATTTTTCTTGCCTTCAAAACTTTGTGAAAATGTTGGCAATGGCCAATGGGATCCTAGTTCCTATCTAAACTAGGGTATGAGTAAAACACATACCACGCATCAATGAGCACCCCTATGTATCCCGATGCATGGGGCCCACCTCTTTGTGTCTAATGGAGATAAATCCTCATTGGGACACAGGGTTTTCCGCGTAAGTCTACCCGTACATAAAGCTTGAGGTTTGTGGAACTTTTCCATTCTTCTAAATGACTTTTTTTTCTTTTTAATGGGTAAGCTAAACAGTTCTTTAAAATGGTTGACTCCTGATTCGAGTACTAACAAAACTGAAGTTTGTCCATCATATATCGACTCTTTAATGGGAGTTGGTGTATGGTGTCAAATTCTTTTTCTTTACCAAGTTTAGTTTTGTTTCCGTATTTATTTATGAGGGATTGGAATTGTTTTGAATTTATATACTTCATATACAGACAAAAGTCTCCAATCCTGCATGCATTGGTAACATTTTTTCATTCCATATGGTAATATCATGGTACATTTATGTAACACTGGTCTCGTTCACTTCGCAGATTCGAGTTTTTAATTCGAGCTGAGATGTGACATTTTGTGAGAACTTTTTACTGTAGCAGAAAAAGTTAAAAGTAAATTGAGTGCCATACGAATGTAGTAATGATGTTACCTTGTCAAACGAAAAATGTTACAGGTACTGGACAGGAAACATTTTCATAATAGGCTATGTATTGACTAATATTGACTCTTTAATATATGCGTATGTATAAAATAACATTGGTATTGATTTTTGAATGTGAGTTTCTCTAATATCGACCTTTCTCTTTTACACTTCCCATGGATCCGAGAAAAAGAAGAAAAAAGGAAAAGGTTAAAATTGAAAAAAGGTGAAATAGAAGAAAAAGCTGATTCTCTCCTCAAGTTTGGTTGGGTCTGGGGACAAAAAGAAGATTGCGCTTTTGTTTAGCATTCTGAATTTCTAGCCTCAGCTCCTTCTCGGAACCACCATGAGTTTTTGAATAAAAGCGCCAATACATTTTCAAACCCAAGGAAAAGCCCTGTCTGTGAGAGTTCACCCAAGAAATATAATGCATGCCCCTTTTAATGAGCTTTATGGAATATCTCAATAAGAAAGCTATTTTTATTTTGAGTTCAATGATTTGCCCGTTAGTATAGTGTTTAACGTGTAGTCGCAGACTAAGAGTGTGCTTGGTTGGTGAGAAAGACGGAGAAAGAGAGGGGCGAAACTTCCTCTTGATCCACTAAATTGAATCCTTCCACTGATAAAAAGATTTAAGATATCCATCACATTCAAATTTATAAAAGACTACAAACCATTCAAAAAATTACCAACAAAAAGTAAATGAATAATAATAATTTGACAAATAACTGTTATTTATCTTTTCAACTCTTCTTCTTTTACTAAATAACATAAATGATTAATCTGAGGTGTGTTTGTGAGAGCTACTTAAAAATTATTTTTGGTTTTCTAGGTCTAAAAACTGCTTGATGTGTTTGGATGATCTATTAGAAATGGTTTGCATTTTTAGAAGAACTTCCTATCAAAGCCACAAGAAGAGGCTTATAAAAAAAATTTCTTAATAGACTTTGAAACTTGTATTAAAATTTCAATGAGGTATTATAAACTTAATTTCAATACTTTTATTACTTATTAGTTATTAGAAACTTAAAAATTGTTTTGACCCAAAAAGCTATTTTAAAAATGTGGTTCCAAATACTCAGTAAAAAACCACATCTTTTACTTTTTTTTATTCTACTGACAAAAAAAAAAAAAAAAAAAGAGTGCCAAATATGCTCATAATTCTCTTCAATCTTGATATTCCTCTTTTCTCCACCTCTGTTCATCCTTCCTACTTTACATTCCCCTAACCAAAAGGTCTTAATTATGTCATGTTATGTAATTAGTGCAATTGTGCAAACTCATTTGTAGTCCATGAATTATAGCCAAATCATGTTGGTTTTTAACTTTAAAACGTGTTAGAACTCTACTAAATTGACACAAATTTGTCCTTTCGCAAATTGACTGTTAAAATCTCAACGAGAGAAGGCACGGCTCCCTTAATAGTCGCGGTTAAACATTAGAATTATAAAATTAACTCATACTAAGTCGTACATGATCCGTGTCTTTTTTCGTTAAGATTCTAACAATTTGATGTACAGAAGGACTGCTTTAAAAAAAAAATTATAGATTGAGGACTCCTTTTAGAACATTTTAAAAGTTAATAACCAAAATGAGATTTGGTTCATCATGAGATTTGATGAAAGACTTTTTGCATGAGGTAAGTGAAACAGGAAAAAAGGCAATTGTAACATGCGCTAAACGTAGCTTTCTTCACATGAAACTACAATAACCTATCCTATATGGAAATATTTGCCCGAGTCACCTAAATATTGCAGCCAGCTTGCATTCTTCTATAGTGAAGATACAGCTGTTAGCCAAAGCCAAAACAATACCATGCACCCAATGAGAAAAGATAACTCATAAAATAACATAAAATCATATAATAAGGACAAGAAAATTTTAAAAAATAAAAATAAAAAAAAAGGTGAAAACTACCATAATCCACAAGGCTCCTCACAACAATCCACGTCTATCACCACATTACAAAAACCAAACCAAACAAAACCAACTTCTTGTTACTCCTCTGAAGGCCTCCAAAAGACACTAATATACCACAACACCACGTGGATAAAAAGAGCGAGACCATAAATATGATTCAACTCACTAATCTTCTCATCTTCCTACATAGTTAAACACAAAATGACAGTACCCAAAATGGGCCTTAAAAAAAAAAAAAAACAACAAGATGGGATTTTTACAATGATGTTACAATATATATATATATATATATATATGTGTGTGTGTGTGTGTGTGTGTGTGTCTATCTGTTTTTGAATATAAATGGTGCCAAAGACAATCGAATACTAGTCTCTATCTCTATTAATATATAAGACTAAGTATTTTAAAAGGTGTCTCCCGTTTTGAAATGGAACACATAAACCTATAAAGAGATGATTATCACTGGCATTGGCAGCCCATTCCTGCAATGTCATATATAAGCTCTAGATCATGGGGACATGGAAAGACAAAAGTATCTCATTAAAGAGCCACTTCATATCGCAGTCCCTTTTGACTCTCTACCTATAAAGATTCCCTTAATTTTTTAACAGGGTTGGTTTTTAGTCTTTTAGATATCTTCTGCCTACTTAAATTTAAAAAAAAAAAAAAAAAAAAAACAGACATGTTTTAGCTCATTAGAGAACAGAGAAAAACAGAGGAAAACAGAGGATTTAAAATTAAAGAAAAAAAATTTACCACTTAAGGAAGAGAGAGCCTTCTTGACCTTAAGCTCACAGCCATCACAATCCATTCTGACTTTAAGGTCAACCGTTTGCAATGTCTTCCTCTTCTTGTGTTTATGGCCATTGCCCATTAAATCAGACAAATACTCCAAAGTTCCTCCAACTCCCTTTTTTTTTTTTTTTTTGGCTTCTAAGATCACTATAGGGAAATGGGTAAAAGAGTAAACTTCTGAAACGTAAAAGAAAGACAATATTTAAGGGAAAAAAAAAAGTAAAATTCTTCAAGTTTAGTGGTTTCTAGAGAGGGAAATTGAAAAGGAGCAATATGAGAGAAGGAAATGAAAAACAAAGATGGACAAATAATTATATAGAGAAGAACAATGGAAAGTGAACCCAAAGAGAGAAACTACAAGGAACTTCCTTTGCTTTAGAGATGGATTCTTTGCTTGCCTTGTAACATACAAAGAGAGAAAAACAGAGTTTGTGAAAGTTTCTCTGAAAACTTGTTTTACCTCTATCTGATATGTTATCTTAGACAGGCCTACTTCTTATATAGAGAGTCCTTTAATCAGATTTCAGAACAGAGAAAAGTTGGTGGCCCCTCCATGCAATAGTTAAAGAATGCTTTAACAAGTCTGGACTATTTTTTTTTTTTTTTAATGTTGATTTTGACGCTCTCTTGAATTATACAACTATTATAATGATCTATTATTGGTTCTTATTTTCTAAAGGGAGCAAGCTTCCTGCTTCCCGCGTAAGAAAGAAGACAAGAAAGTCTTTGCAGTTATGCCCCTATATCGTCTACTACATCTATTTTTTTTCCCCATAGGTGAACAATTTGTATAATTGTAAATTAGGCACAACATTTGAAACTATTCAATATATTGCCACCATCTCCCAAACTGATGAGTAAAATTTTACATTTATTGTATCAAGTATATATCTAACTATATTTAATTTTTAAATTGTGTCGCTTAGAACTTGAACCTAGGATTCAGTACATTAAAAACAACTCACATACTTACTAAACACCTATCGGATTTGATAATATGTTCGGTTAAATAGTCATATTGTTCTTAATCTGATTTTTAATTTGATAATATGTTCGGTTAAATAATCATATTGCTCTTAATCCGATTTTTAATTTGATATGATATGATTGCTTTCCTTATCACATAGCTTTCCGTTTGCAGATCAGGGAAGAGTCCTCAAAGTAGGCCTGAAAAGAAAAGAGGGAAAGAAGGAAGGAAAAAAAAAAGAAAAGAAAAGAAATATGTGTCACAAGGTGATTTGTAATGTAAAAATCAAACAAAAATAAAGGAAACGGAGACACAAATTATTTAAGATGTAGGGACTTGGATGCAAAACGGTCCAACAGAAAAGGCTTTGTGTTGGAGTAAGTAAACCTTTGAAAACAACATTTGTGAAAGGAACTCCGTTGTAAAAAAGAAGACACAATGTTCTAGTGCCCTAATTTATTTATTGAAGCTCTAATGCCCCATTTTAAACGTATAAGTAATTTATGTTAATCCGAGGA